TTAAAACACTTAATAACTATGAAACATTTTTCAATAAAAGATGAAAAGGGAGTTGGAATGGAGCCTTCGATTTCTCTCCTTAACTGTTTGGGCTCGAGGAGCCTTTCTTACGCTCGAACAATTTTCTTCTCTAAAAGATTTATAATATGTTTTACATCAAACTATTTTTATATAAAACCAAATCAAATCTATTTTCTCAACCATTAAGGATGAAAAAGAGAGAGAATAGAGTCTTCGATTCATTCTCCCGATTATTTATGCCTGAGGAGCCTTTCTTAAGCATTCAAGTAATTGTCATCCGCTTAAAATACTTTAACTATATCAAAACCCTTTCACAATTAAGGTTGAAAAAGAGAAAGAGTCGAGTCTTCGGTTCACTCTCCCGATTACTTGGGCCCGAGGAGCCTTTTTTAAGCATTCAAGTAATCTTCATCTAAATAAAACATCAACACATTAATTCATCTTTTCACCGCCGTGCGATTAAATTTTTTTCTCAAAGAACGATGTTTAGTCCCTTCTAACGTGCATGCAACTAAATGCTTAAGCCTCCGTCGAGAGTATAAAAGCTAATGTTTCGCCCTTAGAATGTGACCTAAACATCTGTTTGATAAAATGAACCAACCAACCGTAGTCCCACGAACTACATACGCTCTAATTCTTCATTTTTACAAATGAAGATACGCAGGCACAAGGACCCCAATTCTTGGCGAGCACCCTAATAAAAAATCACTTATTTTCCTCTTAACAATCTAAATCTTTTTCACTTACCTTTTCGCTTTATTCCCTTAGAAGAAAACAAACAACTTTAACGAACTTTTCTCACGAATCAAATTAAGAGGTTCCTGTTGAGTACAACGGACGTGGGGAGATGTTAATACTTTCATCTCACGTAAACGACTCCCGAACCTAGAACTTAGTTGCGATGACCATGTTCTTTCCCTAATTTTTTTCTCGATATTTTCCTACTCCTCCTTGGAGTGAATAAAATTCAGTGGCGACTCTGTTTTCTGCAACAATTCACGAAGGATCATGCTTTTTCGAGGTACGACAACTGTAACCAAATATGCATTCAATGCACCACCAGTAGTTCTCATTATGAACTACTCATCTCGTCAATTCATCAACAATCATGTATGATAATTCACAATATTATACGCCACTTTCACCACATATATTCACACATCGAACATATATTCACAATTACATATAATACTCATTTATGGATAATATCAATTATCAACAATCGATTATTAACACAATTGGTCACATTCAAAGCACATCGATTAAATTACTCAAAACATTCAATACTACCAAACAACAACAACACATCATCAATATTAGAACCGACACGAAAAACCAATTTCGGCACGTCAAACATGATCGACTGGACCAACGTGGTCCACTGCCAGACCATGACGGTTGTTACGGAGATGACAACCTGCTCGTCATCTCTCGAAATGTTCGTCATGCACTCAACGCATTCGCCGACGCCCGTCAGCTCTTTTACATGCATGACGTTTACCTGTCATCCCTGTAACAGAGGCAAAAATGTGTTTTGTCATTCCAGAATCTTCAAACACCTCCAATTCAATTTCAAACATCCTCAAACAATCCCGAATTGATACATACGTGATTAACACATATTAGCATGTTATTTCCCATTAGTTTAACATGTTATTCCATTGATTAATCACCAAAAATTATATTTATGCTATAAAAGCCTCAATCTCATACCAAACATCATAATTATAAACAGTTCGACATAGACAATAATAACCGCATTTACAGAGCATAAATTTTAATCAATTGATTATATAAAAACAGAATCACATTTATATAACTCATCAAATAACCAATCAAAAGAGAAGGAAGAAAACTCTATTGGAGGTTAAGGAAAACCTCTTCACTCTTTCATGATTAAGGCACCCTTAGATGAATAACACCTCATACCTTATAAAATCAGCAAAAGCACAATCAAACACTCCTAAGGTCACCTCTCCCAAAGCCCTAGCTCTCCAATGCATTTGCTCTCTTTCTTCTCTCTTTCACGTTTATTGATAAATGCTCTAAAAAAACCTTATTTTCTATTTCTCTTAAAATATATAATAACCTAATTAAATTTCTTTAAATTAAACTCTTGGCCCAACTAAACATAACCTTTTCATTACTAACCACCTCAGTTTTTAGTATTTTCACTTTTTACCCCAATCTTTACTATTTTCTTAATTTTTAATTAATTAATTAATTAAATTCCCTCAAAACTAATTAATTAAGCATAATTCACCACAAATGTCGACACCGGCCAAACACGTTATAAGTCACATAAAATAATTATTTAAATAAATAAAAGACTAATTAATTCGGGGTGTTACATTTGGTGGTGTAAGTTGGCCATGTTTTCTTGGTATCTCGGTATGATTTCTCTATGCTATCTAGTTTCTTGATTATATTTCTAAAATTTTGTATTTTGCTATTATAACTGTATGCATTGTTTGTGGTGTTTGTTTAGTTTGCTAGTATGGCTCTTATACTCTGGCTTTTATTTTATCATAGATTTAGTTGTTTGCGTGTTTTTTTCTTATTTTCTAGTTTTAATATTTGGCAAAAGGGAAAATTTATTGAGATATTATTGATAGTTATGCGTAATAAGTGTTTAATGTAGAGGGAGTGTTAGAGTTCCAACAACGTGTTGTACAATCATCTATTTTGCACTAAGCATTTCACCGAATTTAAGTTTTCTTCAAATTTCAAATAAGCGCTCAATTCAAATTGATCAACAATAATATCTCTAAATTTTCCAAACATCAAAAGGGGGGAGATTGAAATTGTAGTCACGTTATCGTATGGTATCGTTTTTTAGTTTTTATATTTTTGTCAATTTGCATGTATGTGTCATTTGACTATTTGCGTGTTTGTGATTTATTCGTTATTTGAGTATTCGTGTGCTTGTAATTCATTTGCATTTGAGGTATATTATGTTTGCTTAAGCTATTTAGACTTGTATCTTAATCCCCTCATCTTTCAATAAACTAGAATGTTGGTCCATGATATTGTGTGTCATTCTTTTGAACCTAGCAAGTTGGTATTTGTCTTTTCATCAAATGTTGTTTGAATCAAAAGTTAGAACACTTGAGTCAATGTGTTGAATTGCTTGATTCGAACCATGTACATTGTATGATTCAAATCATACAATTTGTGAAAGTTGGAATTTGGCGCCATGTGATTTGATTTGAATAACAAATTTTACTTAATTCGAATCACAACTTTCTTTGAAAGCAAAAATTTGCCTCTTGATTCGAATCATACATTATAAGTGACTCGAGCCACAACACAATATGACTCGATTTATGATTTGTACTTAAATCAAATCATGGGTTTGAATACTGATTCGAATCTCATTTAAATTCAAGTTTTCAACCTCTCATTTAAATCCTCTTTTGACTCTCCAAGAAGAACTATATCATCTGCAAAAAGCATGCATCTTCGTGCTAGATCTTGGATGTGTTTCGTGAGTACATCCAAAATTAAGGTAAAAATATAGGGGCTTAGGATTGAACCTTTCAGTAAATCAATTGTAATAGAAAAATCATCTCTTTTCACTTTGTGTCCGCACACTAGTCGATACCCCTTCATACATATCTTTGATAGGTCGAATATATGCAATCCTAACCCCCTTTCTTCTCTACGGATTTCCACTCTATCATATCATTTATATCTTTTTCCTGAACCAAGGTCATGCGTTATTCATCATTAACACACTTCACTTGATTATGTATAGATTTTTCTCTCTTCTTGATTCCTAGAGATTGGTATAGTTCGCTAAAATCTTGGGTTTTTTCTTCACTCATTGCCTTCTTGGTCTCATTCTTAGCTTTCTTGTAGTTTTCTCATGTTTCGGGATTTTTACATGTAGACCAAACTTTAAAACAGTCATTTTTCACTCTTACTTTACTCTGGACACTTTCATTCCACCATCATAACTTTTTATCCCTAAGTCCAAAATCTCTTAATTCACCAAACGTCTTTTTAACCGCTTTTCTAATCTCTTGAGCCATCTTATTCTACATATTATTTGCACTTTTTTGTGGGTGTCCAAATCCTCCCTCCAAGATCTTATGTTGGAAAATTTCTTGTTTTCCACCCTTCAAATGTCACCACTTGATCCTTGGTACTACCATATAACTTCTTCTCTTTATTCTCCTCTTAATTTTTACATCCATAAATTCATAACCAAAACAGTATGTCTGACGGTCAAACTCTCTCACAAAATAATATTATAGTCCAAACAAATCTTCCTATCAAACATCCTTATAAGTATCTGAGAACATATGCCCTCCACTTTTATATATCATCCTTATAAGTATCTGAGAACATATGTCCCCCACTTTTATATATGATAAGATGGCCATCTCTTTTCTAACCTCACATTATTTTGTAATTAATCCGTATCATTGAGACCAACTATTTATATCAAAGTTAACCTAACCAAATGAACTTGTTCATTAGACCTTATTCAATATATTTGTTAGGTCACCAACTCGGCAACTTGAATATAGGAACAACCAAAAGTTAAGCTATGACATAGAATCCATATTTTTTATTAAAAAGTACTATCTATATTATACATAAACTTTTTGTTTCAAAATGTCAAATTCTAAAATTTACACAGTACAAAGAAGAACGATATTGTGGGTTCAAACCCAGGGCCATGCCTTTAAATTTAATATTTTTAAATATATGAAATTTCAATTAGTCTAACTTTACATTTAGTTATATCATAAACCTACTAGCATTTGATTATCTAAAACTTTAACCAAATTATTTCAATTAAAATTTAATTTTAATCAAAGCATGGAAAAACTAAGATTCACAGCTTTTTTTTTTATAAAAAGAATCATAAACGTTAACTGTACCAAAAAGAAAGCTTGGTGTCAGCTTCTAAAATGATCATACATTCCACCAGAACAAAAAAAGAATATCTAAATTCTAATTCTGTTTCATTATCTAGTATTTAATCGCTTTCTAGTAGAAGGGTCGTAGCTTGCCTCAGCCCTCCTTTTCTGAAAACATTGACAAAAAAAAAAGGATATTAGTCCAATTTATGAAACTATGTAACAATGAGGGTGGAGGAGTAAAAGTGCATACCTTGTCTTGTTGATTCTTCAATTGTGAGGGATGAGAATCATTGTGTATAATTGTGTTATTAGCAACACAACTTCTATTTTTAATTTGAAGTAGTTTGTGCTTCCTATATTTCTTGTCCTTTTTATTCTTCCTTTCAGTCTCTCTAGATGCGTGTGCCGGGTTCGCCGCTGCGTTTGGTAGCACCTTCTTGACCTGCAAAGAACATATTACATCAGTCAAACATGAAGACGGTTTGAATTATTCGGATTTGAAATTATCAAATGTGCAGCCAGACAATGAAGTTCGAAAATCTTACAGAAGAAATGTGATTTGGATCCGTTTCTTTCAGATGGAAAGCTTCATTTAGTACATTCAAGTCAAACGGAGATAAGCAAGGTTTCTTCTCATTCGTATAGGTGTTCTTACACAGCTGATCAAGTTCCATTCCTTCTCCCTTCTTGATTTTAGTGTCGCCGACCACATTGCGAAGATAATGTGTCTCTGACAACGGAAGTGAACTCTTGCAAAAGTGTTTGTAGAACGGCCAAAGCTTATATTGGCTTACGAGATCGTGACCACCTCCAAGTTCTCTACTTCCTGAATCAAAGAACATGACAACTGGTTTATATAGTCATCAGTGACCTAATGTCTGAAAGAAAAGTGGACAATTCACACTTTTAAATGTAAGAGCAAGAAAAAAACAGGATTTTTATGAATGATTGTCTCATGATCATAAAGGTCCATTAAGCTCCATCTGCTTTATCACTGAGTTAAAACCTCACAAAACTCTGAAGGTGAAGTTCCATTATAACAGTGAAACAATAAAAAAATAAAGCTTGGCTTGTAAAGAAAATGAAGAAAAGAAACATCTTTCTCAGTGGCACAGAAAGCTCTGCCAACTCCTAATGTTTTTGTTTTCAACAATACGTTGATTTCTTAGGAAAATGAGGTAGTATGCACGGTAATAATTAAAGGGCATAATTGAAAAAATACGAATCATTTCTACATTGAAAAGTAAGAATGATATTCATTTTAAAACAAATTTATTTGCTAAAACGACAATCATTTTGATACGGATGGAGTACATGCTCCATGCCGCAAAACAAATATGCTTTCACAATGTTCTTGCTCCACTATTTCCAGTGATAATAAACAAGAACAAATCATTGTCTAAGAATATAGTATTTAGTTATGTAGCACAATAGCATCGTATCAAAAAATCAATATAAAACAACAAAAAAAGCGGCCGCATGTCAAGATCTTACCCCTCCCAAAGTTTTTGCCTTCAAGATTCATCCTTTTGGAAACCTCACTGAACTCACCTCAAAAGCCTCTATTAATTGAATTTAACCTGAAACGAGGAAATCTCAAACCAATGAAGTTCTAAATTTTACAGAATCTGGGACTTCAGTATCATAATATCTACCAGAAGCATGCATCAAACTGACTTTCACATAGAAAAATAAATCTGACAAATCAGGCTTTCCCAACCACATTAAATAAAAAAAATCCACCCCAAAACACAAATATTTGATTATAAAGTTATAAACTTCAATGTTGGGTGTGCATTAATATCAATTGAAGAAAATCTAATCCTGTGTTGTCTATGGCAGATAGCGGAAAATCGTGGAGAGCCAAAAATCTGCCATGAAAATATGGTGGATGGTGGCTAATCTAATGTTGAAAGAGGGGGGTATATGTCGCACTTTTAAATGTAAGAGCAATCCTTCAAAACAGGGTTCTTTAGAACGATCACCTCATGATCATAAAGGTCTCTAAAACTCCATTTGCTATATCACTGAATTTAAACCTCGTGAAATACTATGAACACGAGGCTCTGATATTACAGTGAACCAAGAAAACAACAATGTTTTACATTACAGAATCGAAAAATGGAGAAAACAAGTTGTACAACATACTGCCCTATACAATATTAACAATCCTACAGTCGTACAATCCAATTAATTCTCGCAAAGTATAGGGAAAAAACATCTGAAAATTAGCTTTCCCAACCACCATTAAAAAGGAAACAAAAACCAACCAAATACAAAAATACTCAATTATTTCTATCTAATATCAAACAAAGTTATAAACTTTAATGTTGGGTGTGAATTCAAATCAACTGACGTAAATCCAATCAAATAACTTTTGCCAAACAAAACTCTGAAAACAATTAAGAGAATATGTCATAGAACCTAGACAAAGTTCTTCATTTTATATCTTCTTTCTTTCTTTTTCACTTTTAGAAAGAAAATAAGAAACAGCAAAATAGCAAAAGAAATCGGCTTAGATGAGGTTGCACCTTCGACTGTTATGGCCCAGTTAAATCAGGAAGAAAGGAAATAAATTATGATTAAAACTATACTGCGTGTTTTTACAAATACATCATATTAAAGTATAAATACAGAACTACTCTTCCCTTGCCAGTTGCCACACTTCAATTCTAAACTACATAGCTTATTATCATATCTTCCACATGATATTACTAAAGATATATACATAATCCTGTTCCACAATCCAGTAAGGGAGGTGGGAAAAGGCATCAGTGTATAGATGAAATTGATTGTGCTCCAATCAATGCATGTGATCATAATATTTACTCCTCCTTACTTTTACCGTAATTTTAATAACAAATGATCAAACACGGCTCCAAAGTAGGACACAGCCAGTGCATACCAAGAACCCAAAGAGAAGGTTGATAGAAACTAGAATCCTTATTTATGTTCGAGCAGTGTTGTTAAATATCCAGTATAGCGCCGGTATACCGGTATCGCATATTGGGATTTGACTATCCGATACGAAAGCTAGTATACCATTTCAATTTTGCGATGCTCAAGATATCGGCGCTTATCCGGTATACCAGTTATGAATTGATATTTGACAACACAGTGTTCGAGAGAACTTAAAGGTATCGGTATTTTACCACAATCAATTTTCCCTAGTGTTATCAAATATCCACAATAACGGCGCTATGGCGAATATAAATAGCGATTTTTGGACTCGCCGCAAAGGTAAATATCGGTCGATATTGCAGATTTTCTGCCATAATCCGCTATAATGGCGCCACAAAGTGCCGATATGGTAGGATTTTAGCTCTCCACCATGGACAACACTAACTGACTAACCATGGACAACACTGACAGATCGAGGGACTATCCCCTTACCCTAAAGTTCTCTCTAACAATATGATAAAACAAAGCTACATTGCTCAAAATGAATTACATCTTAAATTCAAGGAATGTAAAGCGTCAATGATCAAAGTATAATAAAATTAAGATGGTTGAGAAAAGACATCCAAACATTAATCATGACAACCAACTGAACTATTTCATAGTTTTTTTCTACAAAACAAAGAATAAACTGAATAATCCATATTACTAGCTTTTACCAATACACAAACATAGTTTTTAAAAGAGGAAACATGAACACTATAAACTAATCATCGAGGATAAGTCGACCTACATGACAAATAGTTTACACAGTCATCAATGACCTAATGTCAAAAGAAAGGTAGGTATTTTCACACTTTAAAATGTAAGAGCATGCCTTCAACAGGATTTTATAAGATCGCCTATGATCATAAAGGTCCCTTAAGCTCTATTTGATATATCACTGAGTTTAAACCTCGCAACATACTTCGAACACGAGGCTCTAATATAACAGTGAACCAAGCAAACAACAAAGTTTTGTGATAAAGAAAACCAAGAAAAGAAACATGTTGATTTTATAGTAGTAAAGGAAATGCCATATTCATTCCAAGAATGAATCTACAATGATACATGCTAATAGTAAAACAAAACGCTTCCACAATGTTCCAACTCAACTATTCCAACAAAGTGATAACAAGAACAAGAAAACCTAGTTATATAGCATATTACCATCATATCAATAACAATAACCACAAAAAAAAAAAAAAGCAAACAATCAATAAGACACAAGTTCTTACCGCTCTCAAATCTCTTGTCTTCAAGACCCCTCTTTTAGATAACCTCAAAAAATGCGTCTACCAGTTTTGTTTAACCTGGAGCTTCAGAGCAATGAAGCGCGGTGCAAGGGATTGAGATGAATTAGGTTATTGTTCGTAGATGTTGAACGTAAACAGTGCATAATGTTGTTTTTTTGGTATTTGAAGGGGAAATAGAAACCGCGTTTCAATAACCCGCACCGGGTCATGCAGATGGGCTTGGCTCAATCTTGGATTGATAATTGATGTGGCCTTTTTTAAAAAAAGTCATATGATAATTGAATAATTATTATTTTTGTAATTATTTATATTTATTTACTTATATTTTATGTAAATTATGTCTATGATAAAAGGAGAGGGTTATATTAGAAAGTGAATGTAAAGTTTTGTTGAATCTCTGATATGGATTAAATATGTAATAATATGAATGATAGGTCTCGAGTAAATTGTTAATGTCAAATGAGAAACGTCGTTACATTGACGTCTTGATGTAGTGAAAAATAAGAAAGGTTTTTACATTTTCGAGAATGGGTATGGGTGAATAAGTTAGTTCATGAAGAGCATGTTTTGTTTTGAAAAATGAAATATAAGCACGCTTATTGTAAAGTCTATAGAAGTAGTAGACAATATGGTTAAGAGAAAAACCAATTTCATGTGCCTATAAGAAATTAAGTGGATGAGTCAAAAGACGATAATGAAACAGTTCAAAAATTAAGCTTTGGTACACTAACAAAGTTAGATAAAAAAATGGGGGTAAGGAATATTATAGACAATGAGCGAAAAATTCATCTTGTGAATGTCAAAAGAGTAGGATGTCGGATTATATCTCTAAAATTTGTAGTGGAACAAGACATCTTAAATGTTATTAGTGCTTACGCACCTTAGGTGGGTTAGCAGAGCACCTTACAGTAAAATTTTGGAAGGATAATTATTTTAGGATGCCTAATGGAGATAAGATTTTTATATAAGGGGTCTAAATGGACATGCAGGGAGCGTAACAAGAGGTTTTAAGGGCATGCATAAGGGTATGATCTCGAGGAGGTAATTGTGAAGGATAAATTCATTCTAAATTTTTTGTTGACTTTTGATCTTACTATACCTAATATGTGTTTTAGGACAAGAGATGAGCATATTATTACATATAAGAGTGGAGTCATGTGTCCTCAGATAGATTTCTTTCTTATTAGGAAATCAACTAGGTAGATTTTCTTGTACTGTAAAATTATGCTTGAAGAGAGTTTGACTACTCAACATAGAGTATTGGTTATGGATGTAAGAGTCGAGAGGAAAGCGAAGAGAATAAGCTATATGGGAGCTTCGGTGATCAAGTAGTGGCATTTGAAGAGTTGAAAATTAAAGAGTTTCCAACACAACATCTTTGATGGGGTTACAAATAGCCGCGAGGAAATGAAAATTGTGGTTCTATGTGGTTAACATGTATAAGAGGTTTTAATGGTGACAAAGAAATTAAATAAAAATATCATAAACATCATCAAATGAAGAAGAATGTTTGAATAAAATCAAAAAGTGAGTAGTTTGTGATGATTGACTCAAAAGAACCAAGTGCTAGAAAATATCATGAAGAAATAGTTTTATCTGCTAAAATATCTCTATTGATCCTATGTTATGTTGTTTTATCTTTTATAGGATTCCTTATGCAATAATACATGTGATTTCTCTAAAGTTACACACACAAACTTCTTTTTCAAACTTCATCCTTTTCAAAACTTCTTCGAAAATCACTTTGGATTGGGCTAAGATATTTTAAACCAAAGTATAATCTATTATGAAATTTCTATGATCGATTATATAGAAAAACTTTGCGTACAATTGACTATGGCACTTGTTTGATCAATTTTGAGATGATTTCAATTAGTAAATGATAATGAAAATCTTGTAATCAATTATGTTTTAGATTTCACAAAACTTTTCATTTTTGGTAGGTCATAATCCATTATGGTCGTAGAATAATCGAATATGAAAGGAGGACTTGTGATCATTTGAAAAAACAAAAGAATTCTTAATATTGCCTTCTCATCTACTCTTTCTTTGGTCCAAAATTTTCTTATACACTTAAAACATTGTTTTGATGTTCAAAGAATAAATGCTTAATAATGTTTTTTCTTATGTAACCTCAACTTTATTATGTAAGTAAGGAATGCACCTAAGAGTGGAGAGTGAATTAGGTACTTTAAAATTTTCTGGTTTTAGACTTAAGTGTGACTATTTTTCTGGTTTGATGTTAAGTGATGAAAGCGATAAAGAGCAAAAAAATAAAGGACACAACGATATATCCTAGTTCCCCTCACAATCCGAGAGTACTCCAATCCCC